TATTATCTTTACCAACTAAATATAGGTAATATAGATTATATATTTAGAAACTCAAAAATGGTTTGGGTAAATATAAAAATTTTATAATATTAAAAATCTCTTATATTTACCCTTATTTACCACCCATAATCATGTCATAAGCTAGAGGAATTGGTCCTAAACATGATTATGAATCCTTTTTATTACTTTACTAGGTTATCTATACTGACGTGAATTTCGACGAGTACTCTACCACTGGACATGGTGGGATCGTAAGAGAAGATGGTAAGAAATGTCGTTTGTGCATTTTTTTGAAAAAAACAGGATACATTCGTAGTGATTTCCTAAACTAATATGTTTTGTAGGTGTGATATTGAATGATGAAACCATTCACCAATTGTGCAAACAAGCAGTTTCACAAGTAAAAGTAAAACCATTTTGAAGCATAGAAACAAAATGTTTAAAATCCTAATAAGAAAGGATACAGGCTCGAGCTGGAGCAGATGTAGTTTGTACTAGTGAGATGTTGGATGGTAGTGTAGGAGCGGTTCGTGCAGCTCTAGATGCTGAGGGTTTTCAACATGTTTCCCTCATGTCTTACTCTGTAAACTAAAATCCTATATACTTAGCATCCAATCTTGCTTTACATTCTATATATTAAGTCCAAGCTGATTAATTGCAACCACTCTACTAACAGGTATACAAGTTCATTGTACGGCCGTTTTCGCAATGTGGAATTGGACAAGAAAACGTAAATCTATCACTCTAATCTCAATTGTTAGTTTACATTTGCGTTTATGTTTTCTCATTATTTTGTTTTTTGTTAAATGTTGGGTGAATAAAAGTTATCAGATAAACCCAGCAAATTCAAGAGAGGCATTGATGGAAGCACGAGAAGACGAAGCTGAAGGAGCTGATATCCTAATGGTGAAGCCAGCGCTCCCTTCTCTGGATATCATACGTTCATTGAAAGACCGAATTATGTTGCCCATTGGGGCTTGCCAGGTTTCCGGCGAGTACTCCATGATCAAAGCTGCCGGACTTCTCAAGATGATCGATGAGGAAAAGGTTATGATGGAGTCATTGATCTACTTACGTCGAGCTGGTGCTAATCTCATTCTAACCTACTTTGCTCTTCATGCTGCTACGATATTATGCGGCGAGAACACAAAACTTTTCTCCAACTAGACATTGATTGTTCGTTTACGCTGTTTTACATTTATTATAAAAATTCATGATGTCTTATGAAACTTTTTTACATAATTCTCAGAATATTTTTACCATTATTCTATAATACTCTTATATAGGATTAATATTGTCAATTATTTACATTTTCGTAACGACCAGCAAAAACTTCCCTATCCTTATGTAGTAAAGCTGGGTGCATATGTATGCTTGCGAACTCTCTTTTTCTTTTTATATATATATATTTCTTCCTCATCCTTATGTAGGCCTGGGCGCGGATCAGATATCCGAAAAAAATGCAGTATATGTGATTCGATTTGTTTTTTACGGATATCTAATTT